AATTACATAATGTTGTAAATATCAAAATTCTATTGTCGACCGATCCGGATTAAGTGGATAGGTAATAAACTTCTCATTTTTCTCCCGTATTTTATAGTCTTTTCTCTTTCAGTATATCGTATTGTACTGAACAAACGTTGACTTTATTCTTCATACACACGACAATCGGCATACAAAGCCGTACGTTGTACGTTTTATTAAATAAATTAACCTTTTTGTTTATTTATTGGTTCGTTTATGCTTTATTTAATGATTGATATTATTTTGTCAAGTTATACCACCAAGTGCTATAAACTAGTACAAAATTAAAAAACTTAATTTTAAGTAAAGTTCTTTGAAATATATCTGTATTACTATTATGAATGAAAACTCTTATCCATTTTTAATTTGGAATTATATTAATTGCCATGTGTCATGTTTTTATTATTATTGTCAATTTTCTGCGGATAGCTGATAAATTAATCTATTGTCAATTCAATATGATTATATTATGATGTTCAAATACCATTTTGTTATTCATAAAAACGGCCTTTTTATTACTTCTCTGTCATACTGATCCATCAATAAATATTTCTTACGTGTTGCAGCAGACCAGCAAAATTTATTAATTTTATGGTCCTTTATATTTACTCATCCCTGATTCCATCCAATTATGGCCGCTGATGAAGCGGGAGGTAGACGTTCGCTTTCGGTCATAGGCGTACTGAAAACTAAAATTTCTTATCCTCGTATTCAGAATTATAAATAGCAATAAAAAGGATAAAGATAAGTAAAACTTTATACTGATAAGTTTGCTGTACCAATATTAAAAAAATTGGTAGTAGGAAATATTATTTCATAATATTATGACATGATAATGTTATAATGTAATACTATAAAGTAAAGTAAAAGATTTGAAGTTAACATCTCCTTTTTGCTGCCAGGGCTAATTTGGACGGGGCCTACTTTGTTTACGCGGAATCCGAACAGCGGTCCTCGGTCAATGACCGAGCAAGTGTCTAAATCGACTCTTACTCACGAGATATCCGATCTCATCCGGCCTTGAACCGGCGTGAATGAGCAGTGTGTGTCAAAATATTTTACACTTTTGCCTTTATTGGACAACAGCACGATACAGAGTTTCGAACTGGTCACCCGTCTATCCACTAGTATCGCCTTACGTCGCTTAACTTCGGTGTTCTAATGGGAACCGGTGTTTCGACGTAGCTGGACCGTTGGTTGCCCGTAATACTATAGCTACAACCGTTATAACACTAGTTATACCACCCCGCATAAATTCAGTATTATTATAAATAAGTAATTTATTTCACACCCCTTAAAGTGTAGCACAATTAGAATCATAAAAACGATGCCACTTAACAGTTACATAATGTTTATAATGTTAATTTTAAAGGTCGTTTTACATAAAAATTGTTTATCTGTTTTTATTTATGATACAAAAACCCGCTTGATCATAAAACTTTTGATCATGTCGATGAGTTTTTTTATATTGAGTATGTATGGGGCTTAAGAAGCAGCGTGGTGAAGGCGTTCCACTGTTTGCATCTTAAACATTGTCAGCTATCATAAAAAGATTATTATTAAAATTCTAATAAATTAAATTTTACAGAATTCATAAGCAAAACTTTTAAACTAAAATTCGCTGTAATACTAAATCTAAATGAAAATAAAATATTAGTACGCCTATGACTCAAGAGTTTGGTTTGGTTTGGTGGCGACACGTGCGAAGAGATATGCATGGCTTCCACATTGTTCAACATACCGCGTCTCAAAAGTGGTTCACACCTATAACTTTTTTATTTTTTAGATAAAAAAAATAGGATTAGGTATGTTAGTATATGACATAAATTAGGATTGATTGACGTATTCAATTATTTTCGGTCACTTCCTGTTTCACTACCAAGTCTGTGGTCCAACCAAACCAAACAAAATCAATCTAAACCAAATTATTCGTAAAAAATGTTTTTCAAAATATGCTAATGAGCCTCCCTTGTTCCATTTGATAAAAAATGAGATATGATTAAAAATACGAGACATGAAATACATTGCAAGACATGAAATACATTAGACGATCAAAACTATTTTTCCAAGGCTCCTTGATTAAAAATTAGTGTTTTAGCACAGTTATGGCACTAGTGATGGGTTGTTATTTAACTATCTGTTATTTTATAACAATTATTTAGAAATAACATAACGCAACCGTTACTGCTTTAAAAAAATAACAGATATAAAATAACGACACGCAGAGATCGAGTGTTCGTGAAACGAAGTCGGCGCTCTGCACCGCCACGAAGTTCGATGCTACTCGAAGCAATTCCAAAAAACAACTAGTATGGATGGAAAACCTATTATTTCGACAACCATCGATACTGGCGGCGAGATACAACGGACAACGGAGTGGGGTATGAGGCTACGGCGCGGCGCGTCGTGTTGGGCTGACAACAGCTTAAAAATAATAGGATATAAAAGAAGCAGCTTTTTTGAAACAGTTGCGGGCATAACGCCTGGCTGTCGAGATAACAGGAGTGGGAAAGGAGCGCTGCTGCATCGGTCGATTGTCGATGGAGGCTCGCAACGGGTTGGAGAATAACGCATCAGTTGTTTTAGCTATGTTGTTTTTTACCTGTTACGAGCATAACAGAACGGCGTTCGAGATAATCGGAGGTTTGAAACAGGTTGGAGAATAACGCATCAGTTGTTTTAGATACATATTGTTTTTCAACCTGTTACGAGCATAACGGGCGGAGGTCGAGATATTATGGCGCTGTATGTTTCAATACTTTGTTAAGTTTCAATATTTAAGTATTTATTTATTCTGAAAAATTTTCAGAATAATATTTTAAGATTTTTTAAAAATGTATACAGGGTGTTTTGAAAAATCTGGTCATTGATTAATCACGATCCTGCTTAAAGCCCTTGACGTAAAAAGCTGATTTTTGGAAAACGGATTGACTTTAGGGTGTAGAGGTGCGATAAGAAGGGTTTTTCGAAACTCAAATTCTAAGGGGGTGAAACCACCCTCAAATATTAGAATATTTTTTATTTAAAAACTGGTGAGTTTTTCGAAAAAACTCTTAAACACGTATATTTTATTTTGTTGTTTTACATATTTTGAGATTTTTACAAAATATATACAGGGTGTTTCATAAAATATGACCACTGAGTAATCACTATTCTGCTTAAACTGCTTGACGTTTAAAGCTGATTTTTGGTAAACAGATTGACTGTGGGGTGTAGAGGTGCGATAAGGAGGGGTTTCTCGAATCTCAAATTCCAAGAGGGTGAAAACGCCCCTCAAAACATGAAATACATTAGACGATCAAAACTATTTTTCCAACGCTCCTTGATTAAAAATTAGTGTTTTAGCACAGCTATGATGGCACTCTAGATTGAAATTTAAAATACGATTTTTTATAAAGCAAAAATGTCAAAAGTTAACATATTATATGTCATTCTATTCAGAGTGTCATTTTCTATCGAATAAATTAGAAATATACCGAGGGTGCCATTTAAAAATCAAAAGTTGTAGTCATTTCCGGTGAAACAGGAAATGAACAAAAACAATTGAATATGTCAATCGGTCCTAATTTATGTCATGTACTAACATACCAAATCTTGTTTTTTTAACTGAAAAAATAAAAAAGTTGTAAGGGTGAGCCACTTTCGAGACGCACCCGGTATTTTGTTCTAGTGGGCCGATTTTGTTAATTTTTTAAGGAATTTATAGCTATTTTTTTTTTGTTTTTTGGGGTCCTTATCAATTAAAAATTAAATTTATCATCTGTCTGTTATACCAGGGAAAACAAAATGTGAATATTTTGGCGAAAGTTGGAAACTTCTTGAGGACGTTTAACAAAAATAAAAAAATTAAAAAATATTTTATTATTACGGTGTATTTTTCTCCACAGGTTGTTTTTTTATTCATCTCCATATATTTATTTGTATTGTATGAGTCGATATGCTTTTGGACCCAATCAATACATTGACTCTCTGTTAATGAAAAGTCATATTATTATTGTTTGTTGATAGTTATGATCAGCAACTATACATATGTATGATTAGCAAATGCAAGACCAAGACTCACATGGTCGTGGTCTAAGTTGATCTAACTTGGTCTAAGTAATTATTAATGATTATAATGAATCATACAGTTATTATATTTAAAACGTTTTGTTCTTTAAGAGATTATTTTAATTAACATCAGTTCAGCTGGATACAAAAAATAATCATCAAATCAATGTATGTATTTTTCAGCCGGGCTATAGTCGAGAAAAGCACAAAGCCGTACACCTGCTTTATGTGCGAATGTTCTGTTCAAACTCCTTGGCCTGACAAGCTTTAATAGTCCAAGAAAATAAGCCTTCGAATTTTTGATATAATTTACTTTGAAAGATCCAAAGACGAATCCAGAAAGATTTTTTAAATTCATCCCAGAGAAGGGGTGAAATAAATAAATAAAATTATTTTTTCGAAATTTTGGAGAAACGGTAAGAACTAGAAAAAAAGTTGAAATAAAATTGGATGGAGCGTCAAATTCTACGCAGAAATGATCTCGATACTTTTTTGCTGAGATCAAAATTAACCGAGATAGGGTGGCTAGAATCTAGGGGATGATAGTAGAAATTTAAACAATTTAAGATGCTGAAAAAATCATATATTTAACATTTTAATTCAATTTGCTTGAAATATTATACATTTTAATTAAGATTTTTTTAAATTCACCCTGAGAAGGGGTGAAAAATATAAATGAAGTATTTTTTTCAAAATTTCAGAAAGTATTTTTTTCAAAATTTTTATGTAAAATTGGACGATCTACAACTTTTATTTGAACTTTTTTTACAAAAAATTCGTATTTGAAGGCCTAATTTCTTGGACTATAAACAGAAAATTCGCACATAAAGCAGCTGCGCAGCTTTGTGCTTTTCCCAAAAAATAAATATGATTTCGATGCAACTTAAATGTATCGAGTCTTTTTAGATTTTTTTTTCACTGAAACTTACCTGTTAAATTGCTGGGCAGCACCACCGGTTTCCCCAGTTCACCGGGCAATTCTTGTGGCGGTGCCAGGACTAAGTCTTCCTCGTCCTCCTGTCTTGCAGGAGATTCGGGCTCTTCTTGCTCCTGTTTAAATGGCATAACAGGACCAGCATCTGCGTCAGGAAGCTCAGGTCGACCGGGAAGATTGATTCGATTGTCTAGCTGGAAAATAACGATACAGATTTAGAAAAGATTGTTAATTGTTAGTGCACTATATGAGCGCATATTTGGAGTGAAACTAAAAATTGTAAAACTAATAAATAATTTGATTGATTTTCAGAAAATTTGAATTGAAATGACAGTCTGTCCGTCCGTTAGTCTGTCCAGACGGACAGACTATTTTGTAGCGTTTAAAGGCAGTTTTCTATTGTAGGAATTCTGCTCTCCCGGTAGGAGTTAAAATACCTCTGATAAATGTTGAGGTTGTTTTGGTTTGGTTTGGAGAAAAGGGAAAGAGAAAGAGAAAGGGAAAGGGAAAGGGAAAGGGAAAGGGAAAGGGAAAGGGAAAGGAAAAGGGAAAGGAAAGGGAAAAGGGAAAGGAAAGGAAAGGGAAAGGGAAAGGGAAAGGGAAAGGGAAAGGGAAAGGGAAAGGAAAAGGAAAGGGAAGGGGGAAAGGGAAAGGGAAAGGGAAAGGGAAAGGAAAGGGAAAGGAAAAGGAAAGGGAAAGGAAAGGGAAAGGAAAGGAAAGGAAAGGGAAAGGGAAAGGGAAAGGGGAAAGGGAAAGGAAAGGGAAAGGGAAAGGGAAAGGAAGGAAAGGAAAGGGAAAGGGAAAGGGAAAGGAAAGGAAAGAAAGGGAAAGGGAAAGGGAAAGGGAAAGGAAAGGGAAAGGAAAGGGAAAGGGAAAAGGAAAGGGAAAGGGAAAGGAAAAGGGAAAGGGAAAGGGAAAGGAAAGGGAAAAGGAAAGGGAAAGGGAAAGGAAAGGGAAAGGGAAAGGGAAAGGGAAAGGGAAAGGGAAGAGCAAAAAAAAAAAGAAAAAGAAAAAGAGAAAAAAAAATCATAATTTAATTAAAGAGAGAGAGAAAAAAAGATTTGAGTCACAATATTTCATTAAGAAAACTACCGGCCTAGCCGAGCTATTTTTAAGAAATTGTTTCATAATTTAATTGATGAATGGAACAAAATTAGGATTTTTTAAAATTTAAAGTAGGTACTTCTGAATTTCCTTGATACTTTTTTAGATAAGACATAAGTATTTTTTAAATAAATGGCATTTCTCAATTAATGTCTGTGTTTTTGAAGAAGGCATGCTTTAGAATTATTTAATCAAATAAATCAATGATATTACAGTTTAGAAATCAATGAATTGCATTAGTCTTTTACAAAAAAAATTTTAGGCAATTATTGCAAAATTAGGCTTTATTACTTTTTTATAAGACATAAGTATTTAGATAATAATTATTGACATTTCTCAATTTTGATCTATGTAATTTATGAAGAATGTTTTATTTTAATTAGTAATCGAGCAAAAATAATACAGCAATATTAGTTAGAAATTAATAAATTAATTATTAACCTCAATATTTCATAATAACTTTCTAATCACATTGAAATCCGATCAAGTAATATTGCTAGTGATCGGTACTAAAGTGATTACATAGGTACCTACCCAGTTCTTCAAATACTTTAGTTCTATTAATAACATGTTATTAATAATTACTGATTATATCTTTAAGAATACTAATCAAAAAACAAATAAGAGATATCCTGTAAATTATACTTGAAACTCTTAAAAATTATTTTAAATCTAGTTGAAAAAATTATTTTTTTCATGACACGTTGAAATATATCTCGAAATTTTAACTTTTTTAAGATTCAATTTTTTTTAATGCTGCTTAACGTACCTACTAAGAAATAAATAAAAGAATAAGAGAATAGTTCAACAAAATTTAAAAATAAATAAATAATACGATACCTATTGTTTAAGTATGTATGCTCCAAATAAATATTATAAATATTTTGTTTTATTAAGTATAAAAGTTTTGAACACCCTGTATATTTCAATATAAAAATAAATATTGAATAACTATTAATGAAATCCTACCAATGTATAATTTAAATAAATTAAACACCTGCTGGCTAGATTAATTAGCGACTAATAATTTAAATAATAAAACAATAATATTGCCAGCATTAAAGTAAAAAAAAACATACTTTACAAGATATTGTGAAATTCTATAGTTAATATTTTTACTTAGAAATATTATTAGTTTAGATAGAGATATTTATCCTTGAAATTGTATTGTAATAATATTATATTCTAATAAAATTTCACTTTACAACATCATTTAATTGCAAAACTATTAGAAAACAATAGTTTTGTTAAAATACGATAAAATTAAAATTAAATATGTAAAAGCTAGAGAATTTTAAAATAATTGAATAAATACACGATTTTCTATCGTATAAGATAAACTTTGTATATAAAGTTACTAGCGTGTACCAGCGTCTTCGTTCGTTTCGAATTAATCATTTGTAATGGTGATGATAAAGCAAAGCAAGAATTTCCATTAACATACAAACTGGATAAAATTTTCTCACATTTATGTCAGCTAATGAAAAACAATTAAAAAAAACACATTTTTTAATAAAACGTTTACATGAATTTCTCTATCAATAAATTTCATAGACTTGGTTATCAAACCGTGTTCCCGTCGATTACTTAAATACCTACAAATTTTCTAAAAAAAATAAAAATTAACACATTTTGTAAACACAACAAAATAATATTAACTAAACAAAACTAAAAAACGTTATTTTTACTGCATCACAAGCAAATAAAAATTAATACGTAGCCAAGAGTCATAAATCAGGATTTCTCTGGGGGGTGCCGAGTGGTACCTAGTTACGCCTATAAATATCAGGCTATACAGGGTAAATTACAATTTAGGCAGCTGTTATTGAAATTTACGGTTTATTCATCATTTTCACAAAATGTGAAATACGTCAAAAACTTTACATTTTAGACATATATTATGCTTCTTTAATGAAACTCACCTTTATTTTTTTTTCTAGAATCCGAAATTCAATTAATATACCGGGTGCGTCTCAAAAGTGGCTCACCCCTATAACTTTTATTATTTTTTCAGTAAAAAAACAAGATTTGGTATGTTGTATGATTGATTGACGTATTCAATTGTTTTCGGTCACTTCCTGTTTTACCAGAAATGGATACAACTTTTGATTTTTAAATGACACCCTCAGTATATTTCTGCTTTATTCGACAGAAAATAACACTCTGAATAGAATGACATATCATATGTCAACTTTTGATATTTTCGCATATGGCTTATTTGAAATTATAACTTGCGGTTCGTAACGAAAATTTTACTCGAAATACCAAGTGTGTGGTATCAAATTATTCGTAGAAAAATGCCTTTTCCAAATATACTAATGAGCCACCCTCGTTCCATTTGAAAAAATTGAGATATGATTAAAAATACGATTTGAGCATTTTCTAACTGGCCAGGACAAGACCCTAAAAACATTAGACCCTCCAATCTTTTTTTCCAAGGCACCTTGATTAAAAATTAGTGTTTTTAACACAGTCATGGGACTCTAGAATGAAATTCAAAATACAATTTTTTATTAAGCGATAATGTCAAAAATTGACATATGATATGTCATTCTGTTCAGAATGTCATTTTCTATCGAATAAAGTAAAAAATACCGACGGTGTCATTTAAAAATCAAAATTATTTAAAATCTTATTTCTTGTTCGTTTAAGAACAAACACATATACGAGGGTGGTCCTGAAAAGTTTCCGACCTAACAAAGATACAAGACATTTTTTCTGAATATTTTATTTTATTTTTCAACATAGTCCTCTTGTAACTCTACACACTTTTCCCGGCGATGCTCCCATCACTGTAACCCGTCCAAATAGTACTCGGCGTTTTTCTTTGCAAAATAGTGGTTCACGAAGGTGATTGCCTCTTCATTTGACGAAAATCTCTGTCCTCCGAGCGCAATTTTTAAATGAGGGAACAAAAAGAAGTCGCTAGAGGCTAGATCTGGTGAGTAAGGCGGATGGTCAAGCAGTTCAAACCGTAATTCGTGGATTTTCGCCATGGCAACCGCTGAGGTGTGAGACGGTGCGTTATCTTGGTGAAACAGGATTTTCTTTTTCTGTAAATGAGGCCGTTTTCCGTAAGTTCTGCTTTTAGCTTGTCAAGTAATGATGCGTAGTATGCTCCTGTGATGGTTTTTCCTTTTTGAAGATAATCAATTAAAATAACTCCATGACTATCCCAAAAAACTGTCGCCATCACTTTCCCAGTCGAAATAACAGCTTTTGCTTTTTTTGGAGCCGGTTCTCCCTTTGCCGTCCACTGTTTGGACTGTATTTTTGTTTCTGGTGTATAGTGGTGTATCCAAGTTTCATCTACAGTAATTAATCGACGCCAAAACTCGGATTTATTGCGCCTAAACTGCGCTAACATAGCGTTGGAAATGTTCATACGAACACGCTTTTGGTCTAACGTGAGCAAACGCGGCACCCAACGCGCGGACAGCTTTCTCATGCCTAAATCTTGATTTAATATGTGACAAACACGTTCTTTTGATATGTTCATAACCTCTGTTATCTCTTTCACTTTAATTCGGTGGTCGTCAAGCACCATTTGGTGAACTTTGGCGATGCTATCGTCGGTAGTTGCAGTTTTTGGACGTCCCGAACGTTCATCGTCTTCCAAGCTCTTATGGCCACGTTTAAATTCAGCTGCCCAAAATTTCACTGTGGTAAATGATGGTGCAGAGTCCCCATACACAGAATCCAACTCATGTTAAATTTGTGTAGACGTATTGCCTTTCAAAACCAGATATTTAATGACAGCTCGATACTCCATTTTGTCCATTTTCACAAAAACACTGACATCAACTCACTCAAACGACTGTTACATAACAACTGCGCATCCAAAATGGCTGAAACTTTGGTGAATAGCTGTCAACCTTTGAATAAGAAGACTAAGGAAGGAGCATAATGCTATCCATGTATTCATGCATGGTGGGCGGAAAAATAACTCTAGGGTGGGGATTCTTGACAGTTCTGTTTGACGATTCATTTGACACATTTGAATTTGATTTGAAATTTTGTGGATTTGTCAGTCTTTACGGAGCTTATTTTATGTTATTTATTATTTATTCTACTACTGATAGTTGTATAA